AGTTTCCAAGACTGTGCTCTTTATTGAAGCAGATGGTCCCATTCTTCTTATAATCGGATTTGGATTAGTATTTATCAATGATTTCATTCATTCATTTAGTTTTGGTTCAGTTTGGACTGTCAGTTGTCGTAGCACTGGGGAGTCTTTAGTTCTGTTGTACACCGAATTGCTGTAAGTCAGAACTGAGTTAAGAGCACCCAACGTCAACAGCACGTACCATAGCGTCTTGGGGGTTTTGAACTTGGGTGTTGGATTAGTAACTGCTAGGTAGGCAAGTCAAACCCACCAGTCTCTCTGAGGGAGAAAGATGAGGCTGCTTACTCCTGTAATGAATGATTTACAACCTTAGAAACCCTATGAAGCAAGTTGGAATTGACTCAATGGCAGTGGGTTGGGTTGGCTTTGGGTGATTTTATTACATGGATTTTTTTCATATCCTTAGCATGTTGTTATTGTTGAGAGGTGCTATTACCATCGAATAGATTCTGACTTACAGTAATCGATGCACAGCAGAACGAAACACTACAAAACTCACAATAAACAAACAGCAACAGCAACAACAAACATATACATAGAGTATACATAGAGTATACATAGAGACTCATATCTATTACTATATCATAATTCACAAAATATTTGCATTCACTGCTTTTGTGGGTCTGTGTGTTTTGCGCATTAAAAAATGTATTCTGAGAAGGGTCCATGGTAAATTCTGGATGCTAAGAAGGGTCATTTGGAGACAAAGTAGTACACAAGACAGGTCAATTGCTTGCTCCTATGGATTTTACACTAGGGTGTGAGCCAGGAAGGAGAGTGCAAATAATACGTAAAGAAATAATCACCAGATTTTCAGATACAGTATTACAGCCGAGCACATGAACATTTTCACAAGTCAGGGACTCCCGTGAATGGTGTAGACAGCCCTTCTAGGACTCAGGCCAGCACTTCAGGAACTTGGATTTGGCGTCAAGAGGAAAAGTACTCACCCAAAAGCCTTTGCTAACTCTGATTTTGCTCAGGGAGTGCCACCCTGGGCTCAGAGCGAGAAACAGTACGGCCTGATAACTTAGGTGTACTGTATATGAACTTGACACAAACACCACACACTTCTACATTTGTTTTCAACTTTGCATGCTT